AATTGGACTATTGGCTCCAACCGTTTATGATATGATTATCATTTATTATATAAATAAGACTCGATTTGTCGATTTGTAAAAACAATTTTCTCCCGTCTTAAAGATTTCCCAAGATTATCCGAGTGTGACAGGAACATTTGTAAACATTTCACGAAGGCTGTCAAACACTAACGAAAAGAGATAGGATGATTTTTGGCTGCAAAACCACTATTTGAAGCTAATTCCACGTTTTTTTAAAGGGTGTAAGCATATTCAAAAGCGGCCGCCATTGGCACCCTCTCGCATTTTGCAATTCAATTCTGTTTTTTTTTTTCCACCCGAGCAATCTCGCAAATCATCCTATTGTAGTCCATAAATGCTGTGTACTTTTTTTTAGCACCTCCCAAAAGCCTGCTAGTATTTTTGTCCTTCTCAGCCCACAAATGTAAGTGTATTTGATGATTTTGCGCATAGTCATAAGCCAAGAGTAAAACATTTTAAAATGTTTTAATGTTGTTTTAAGTTCTGTATCTGCCGACAAAGAATTCAGAGGACATCGCAAAGAATTTTAGAATTCTCAAGAAGTGCCAAAGCAAGCTCGACTGTCATTTTTGAAATGCTTGTTATCAGAATTTTGGCCGAAATTCAACAAACAATGCGACTCGCTCCGCGCGAAAGTATTTGTTTTCAACACTTATAATTCTCTTCACCTTTTTTTTTTAGCTTGTAGTTATAATGTTATATTTTGTACAACTATGCATACCATTTGCATTAGACTTTTTTTTTTTAATTTTTATCGCCTATTGTTCCAGATACATATTTTAGCGTTTTTAACCATATCATTTATGCCTACGTTTATTTTTTCTTCTATCGAACTTGAAAATGGCCTTTGAACGGTCGAAACGTTGTTCGCTTATAGCGTTAATAATTATCACAAAATCAACTTCAAAAAACTTATTGATTCGAATTATGGTTAGTGGCAGTTTAATTATCACTTGTATTGCCCAGCAAAGGAAGAAGAAACCATGAATATATGCTTCACGTTCTCTCCCTTAATTTAATTTGTCGCATTTAAGCACGGTGAACGATGATCAAGCAACGCGAAACTACTACTATTTATAATACCTATTGATGCTGTCGCGTGCGCTTTAATGCTCCTGTCAGACAACCGATAGTGTCTTCGAAACTGTTAAAAAGTAATGGTTTGGTACCGTTTAAACCAATCGAGTCCTGTATGACAAGATATTAAAAATAACAGTTGATAAAGGGTGATTGCTTGTCTAACATTTAAGGGATAGTTCACCCTCTTGCAAGATTCTCGAATCTTGATCAATAAAATAAATTTGGGCTAAAGAAGACTCAGGCAATCCCTCATCTTATTACAATGATGACGATGTCGCTTTTCGGTGTGTTGTGTTTATCATTTCCACTGTACGAGTTAATTTCAGTTTCCTTCAAACTTTGCTCCTGTCATAAACTTTTTCAGTTTCACAAAACTTTCAGTAGTTTCAATTGCAATCATGATGAGTTGTGTGAAAACTATCTTTTTGTGTGTGATGTGAAAGATACATTAGTTTTTGTATTTTCTGATTTTCGAAAGTTCTCGATGGAGCAAATGCCCAAGAAAGTACAAAGTGCTTTTCGAGACATTCTACAAAGCATACACATTCCCTCAGCCCCGCTCTGATGGGTAACCTCATTGTATCCTGTTTTGCTCGAGTGTTTCAAGAAGACTTGTTTTGCAAAATATTCAATGATACAGGGCAGTCGAGTAATAAGATCAAACGAATTAAAGGAAATGAATTATTGTCTCAGTAAACATTTTATTCATTTTATATTTGGGGTAATTTATCTATTCCTCAAATCTTCCACTTTCTGCTACAAACAGTTACTTATACTACCTCACGGAGGACACGAAAGAAAAAAAAAAATGGTTTCTGGAAACAAATGAAATCTTCCTTAATGGGAATAAAAACGATTACTATAAAAATTACTGAGAACCCTGCTGGATTTTTTTCGCGAGTGATTTTGAATTATTTTAATATTTCAAATTCACTTTCCTGTCCTTGTGCATTACAACAAAAAGAGATTTCGAACAAGTCTACGGGGTATTGTTTACGTGGTGTATCTGTTACCTAATCGACACTAGTGTAACGCTCTTTCTTGATACACCCGTGTACATGATCGTAAAAGTACGTTCCTGTAGGTAAAAGAAGAATTTATACTGATTCCTAGTACTGTGGGAATCATTGGTTAAATTAACAAAGCAATGAAAGGAGTTACTCCACATAATTAACACGATCTTTCATTGTAGCTAGGTATGTACTTTTTGAGTTAAATGTCTAGAAAACTGTAAGTAGAAGTTCAGTTCATTTACACATGAAACACGGAAGAGCTCTCAGAAACTCGTACAAAATTACTTAAAGTGACAGCTGGCTAGAACGTCACATAATAAATTTATAAACACTATATAATTATAGCAATACTTAAATTTACGCGAACGTAAACTTTTTGACTAAGCTGCTTTAAGTGCAATTCAATTTATGTACTCTGGACAGCAAGCTAGCACGAGACATATTGGAATTGCCGAAATGTTGCTGTTCAAAACTTCAGCAAACTAGCTTTCTGTTTCAGTCGTGAGTCAGTCTATCTCAGAAACAACGAAAATGCTTTCCGGATGGGGATTATCGAGTTTCCATGATTTGAGGGACAAATGTCCGTCTTTACTAGAGGCGATACACTTCGCGCTGTTTCCGACTTTCAGTGCCTTGAAAGGGCCAGAGTTTATCATGAATGACTCTGGCACAAAAGCCGATGTAGTCGAGTCCGCCTCTGTGAAAGGCTGTTGAAAGAAAACAGAAAAAAATAATGATAAGTTAATATGTTAACAAACAGATTACAAATTACAAACTTTTCATAAATAGGAGTTTCATTTAAAGAATTCTGAGCTTTTAAATTAAGGACAGAGTGGAAGTGGCAACCGGAACTTACTGAGTTTAATGAGCAGTTCAGCAGTAGCTTTGCATGTGCGTAATAAATCTCGATACATTTCGTAGCCGCGCGCTCTCAAAACACGACAACGTAAAATGAAGACATTCGAAGTGCTGACGAATTGTATAGGATCGGGTGAATTTTTCATGTATAGCCTCACACAAATCAATTTGTTCTATTCCTGTTTGTAGGAGATAGAAAGTGAGACTGCTCTAGATTATGGCGAAATTTTTGTTCCTGACGTGAGGCAAGTTTGTTTGTTTGTTTGCTTTTATGGGTGGGAGGGGGAAGGGGTCCTGACGGTTAGTTAGAAACTACGATACGGTTACAAGATGCAAGCTCACAACTGAATACTTTCTGTGCTAATCCCGTGAATTCGTCCCTAAACATTTGGCAATCAGTCAATCGGGGGGAGGGGGGAGGAGTTCTTAACAAGCCCATGCTCTTTGATGTACTAATTTTTGACAGAAAGATAGCCTTTTCGTATTGCCTTCTTAGATACTGCATCAATCCTGGGCTAGCCCAACGAGACTTGAATCAACAGTTTTTTTTAGGCCTAGAAATAGTGAAGTTAGATGTTCCTTTCTCTCAACTCAAAAAGCTACAAAAAGCTAGCAAGGAATGTAGCAGTTACTTATTTCAACACCAACCTGGAGGTAGATTGTAGCCGGAGTCGTCTGTTTATCTACCTGTAATACGTATTCTGTGCCATCATCAGCACGGAACTTAAAGTGATAGGAAACCTCCCCAGGGATTGCGCTTTTAGTATTACGAGTGAGTGAAATCACACCTGAAATATATAACACATATAAAAATTCTGTCACTCCAGATTTTGATCAATATTTTCGAAAATATCATAGTTATACATTCACGCAATTAAAGTAAACTATCTATCGCGGAAAAGTATTTTTGCAATTTTTGCCTTTGCCTGAAAAATATCGTAGATTTATTTTATTGCGAGAGTTTTTTCTGGGCTTCACAAGGCTTCGCACTAGTTTGCTGAGTTTGCTGAAGAGAAAGGTAGAACGAAGAATGGAAATCAACTCGGTTTGGGATAAATGGCCACAAATGTAACTATTTTATTTGAAACTAAATCGTGAAAACCTAGAATTAAAATCTCTTCAGGAAAGTTTGGGTTGAAAATTCCGTCACACTAGAAATACCAAGCCTTTTGCGAACAACATTTGACGTGGAAAGCCCGTGCACTTGGTCACTTGTAAGATCGTGGGCATGCCATTGCCCGTAGCGTACACTAAATGTATTTTTCATATTCATATATGCAGATATAGTTGTGTAACTTTTAGCTTTTTTAACTAAATTTTCTGTTTGGGTGGCACCTTGCATGGGTCCTTTGGTCTCGTTCGTGCTTGTCCCTTTGGGTATTATACCTTTTCTTCCGTTTATTAGTCTTTTTCTTTTTTTTTCCTTAGGGTAGCGTTTTTTTTTGTTTTTGTTTTTTTACGTAATCATGTGTAAGATAATTGAAACCCAATAAAGCCTTTACTACATATTCGACGCATTGTACGCTTGAGACTTATCACTAGTTTTCCTAGCTAGGTAAATACGGCCAATCTTGATATCTTTCGAGCTCTATGATTCGATCGTAACACGAAGGAAACATGTTGTATCTTTATTTTCTTCAGGAAGTACTTCGAGGCTGAAGAGATCAAAAAATCACTCGTTTATTTTGATGAGCCGAACTGTCAAAATGTCAATTGTATTTGCTCAGTCATCACCACATCAACGATAGTTCTGAATCGGTGTGTCTATCATGTTGCGGAAACACAGCTTTCGCTACGCACTTTTTTACAGGGTGTTGCATAAAGTAAGAACTAATCAGTGACCAATAAGCTACAGACCGAACTGAACACGAATTACTTGAAAGAGTTGCCAAGGACCTCACCAAGGTTCTCTTGAAGAATGGGATTGCAAAGTGCAACCTTGAATGGAGTCTAAAAGATCTTTCAAAGTTCAGGCACTCATTTCTTTTCCACATTAATGGTGTAAATAAAGAAGCGGAGACGCCACAAATTCAGAGAAGGGCAACATACCTGACTGTTCTTGTCCTGTCCCTGTGCAGTCGACAGTTGGCGTATTGTCACCATTTTTCGTTAAAACCAAGTATTTCTGACTAACCAAGGACCAAATGCGATACTCCTTATCGGGATTCATTCCGCTTGCTGTTGTCGAGTTAGTCTGCTATTGTAAACAAGGAAAAACAGTATCCTACATTGTCACAACTGTAATTAAACTACTTAGTATAATCACCATAACATAAATATTTGAGGTCGTGGATATTTGTATATGTAGACATAACATATTAACATTTAACATTTACATTTAACATCAACATTTACCTTAACAATGGTGTTAAATATTTTCACTCACTGGACGGTGAAGCTGTTGTTAATGTGCTTTGTGATCATTCTTTTATATCGAAGAGACCGGAAGATTTTATGTAATCACAGAACATTGGAAAATGCAAAACCAGTGCTCGTGCCGAGGTATAAATTTCCTGTTAATTAGAATTCTAACATTTCGTTACTGTCTGGTCCATCCGGCTCGCAACGTTGGAATATACTTCTTTTTTTCATGACACGTGTAGGCAAAAAATAAGAATTTAAAGCAATCCGCGTTAGGAATTATAAACGCTGACAAGCGATGACACACCATTACCTGAAAAGATTAAAACAGAGAATATAATGGCAATATGATGCCATTATGATTATATCGTTCTGCCCACTTAACGTAATTTTAGTTTCCAATGATCTTGTCACACGGAAGAATGTGACCTTAGGCGACGCTTTCTGTTATTAGGACATCCTGTTTGCCTTAAAAGTAACGTGTCATTTTAATTTGAGAGAAAGCTTGAAACTGAAAGTTGAAAAACAAAGGTAATTTTGCATGTATTGTCTCTGATCTTAACGTCGCTGGCATAACCTGAGTACAATCAGTCTTTTCAGTTTCTACATGTTAGGTGCTTTGGCCCAGGAAGAATATTTTTTTACTTAATTAATGATAATATTATCTAATCAGACAATATCAAAAGAATATTTACCTAAGATCATTCCATTAATCTTGTTTCAAACACATATTCGGTCAGTTTCACGAGACGACAGAAATCTAACTGAGTTGATGACTTTGTTTAAGCAAGCATGGCATCTCTCAACCTCAGCCTAATCCTCGGGCGAAAGACAAGGAACAATGGACATTTCAGGCTACTCGCCTGTTTAGGAACTGGTGAGAATTAAACAACCCAGAACCTTTACAAACCGTGGATTGAGGACTCGGATATTGAATATTGTTTTTTATAGTTTTCAAGAATTCAATCTTTGCTCAAATGACGTTCTGTTGCCGGTCTTATTTAGATTTCTTCTTGTTGTCTCATTCATTGCGGATTTGTTGAGACACATTTTCATAACAGACCTCTCCATGAGATGGGGAGAATCGAGGTTTTGATAAAAAATCGAAACGGCGTTTGCTTTTGTTGCCAGACTTAAATCATACATACGACTCCAAAATAAATCTACGTAAAGAAAACAAATGAACGAACAAAGAGCGAAAGAGGGAACAAATTGAATGATTGGATACATGAATGATTGATTGAAAGAATGAACAAATGAACGAATGAATAAACGAACTAAATGAAGGAAGGAAAGAAAGTGGAA